TTGCAATAACTCTAAGACGTTCTCTGACTGTATTATTGCCTTTTTTTAGCTCATTCAATGCTTCTCTTAGAATTTTAGACATTCCATTTTCAGATTTGCTAATGTAGTCAACACAATACATTGAGCATGCATAAGGATCAAGAATGAACTGAATGTCCATATTTGCTTTGTGCAATGACATTATCATTGGATTGTATGCATTGATTCTGATTTCATTTGGAGCACGTTTCAAGAATACTTTCGCTTTTTTTAATCCAGCTCGAATCATTTTAATATATTCTTCTTCATTCATATCGATATGTTTCAAGAATTCATCAAAAGTTAATGAATTATCTGTATCTTTTGATATTTTATCAAGTTCTTGAACTACATTTCGTCTTTTTTTTCTTATCTCTTCACGTTCTTTCTTAGTTAACTTTTCATCATCACTGAATGGCTCTAAAATCATCGTTTTTCTCATTGGAAAATATGGAATACCAAAGCGACATTCAATGCCATCCTTCACGTGTTTTTTACAGGTATGTGAGTGCTTATGACGTTGCAAACATATAAGGTCTTCGGAAAATTTCGTTGGCTTACAATTAACCGAAATCAGTTTATCAATAAATTCTGTACATCTTTCAATTGATTCAGGTTTATCTTTGTCGTATTTCGGAGCATTTTTTAACCATAATAGAGCATGAATATGTGGTGAACCACGGACTTGGAATTCAACTCTGACATATTTATCTTCTAATTCATAGCCTTGAAATGGACCACAAGGTGCCGATAATATCTCCCATAAACATTTTAATCTATGTTCAAAATAACGAACGCATGTTACAGGATCATTTCTTATCAAATCACATTTCTTTTCATAGCTCATATTTTCTGCCACCTCTAATGTTATTACTTTATTTTCCAACACTTGAGTTAACATTACAATTAGTTCTGACCACTTTGTCTCTGCTGCTGATAATGTTAGAAAAATAGTTGCACATCCTAATTGCCCGATCATTGCCATAACTTCCTTTTTTTTAGTTCCCAGAACGCTGGTGAAGATCGATCACATCTCAAGAATGTAAAAGCATCATCATTATGAATCAATCCATTGACATAATCTCGATTGAGTATTTGTGCAACAGTTATGTTTTTTGTATTTTTTGTCTTTCTCAAATTTATTGAAATAGCATCGGAGAACTTTCTCGTGTGTAGTTTCTTATATGTGAAAAACAATTTCGATATTATACCACATCTTCGATCAAACATTCTTAATTCTGACTTGGCAATCTTAGCATAAGTTAATTTAACATTCGCTTTGATTTTTCTTTGCTTGCCACAATAAATCTTCGGAAATGTTAATTCATCGACTTTTAAATCCATTAAAATCGATGTCGGTCTGTTATTCTCTCCTGGAGCAAATTTGATACCAATATCATTCTGATCACCAATCTCGTCATTTAATAATGTTTCAGTAGTACTTGGATTGACTAGTTTATCGTCACATTCATTCCATTTGTCCTGGTCATCAAAATCTTTGCTGATGTTTTCATTTTCATCGAATTTCTTATCTTCATCATCGATGATAAAATTCTCTCTCTCGTTAGAATATTCTTTCAGCCAATCATGAGATATCACAATTCCCTCATCTTTATACAGCTCTTGCTCAACCAAATATTTTACAGTAGTATGCACAACTTTTGGTCGAATTGTTTCATACATAAAAGCATTTTTATTTTTCATTTGTCTCATGAGTTTCAATTGAATCGTGTGAGTATCACTGAAACTTCTAGGCAATACTGAAACATTCGTATCAACATTCATGGGAACATTTACAAGGTTACCCTTGAGACCGAATTGTTTACAAGAACCTAAACTTCGAATAACCATAAAAGGAATTCTTGGTGATATTAATCTTTCTTCTAATTCAGTCAAGATTTTCAAACAATCCGGTACTTCATAGAATGCTAAACCATTAGATAGACTGAGATTAGGTACCTTATTCGACATGATGTACTTTCTACAAGTGATACATAATTTAATGATCGCATGTTTTAGATAACAAACTGTATCGATAAATTCTGCTTTTAATCCTTTGTTTGTTAACATCGCAACTGTATATTCTCTGATTGAATACTCAAACCATAAACCACCGCAACAACTACAAATATGAGTAGGTCCTTCTTTGATTTTTGATTCATAATTTGATTTCATGCCATCAAAATTACTTTTGTATTTATTTCTATTACTGTGTATTCTTAATGCATTTCTTCTTCTCTCTTCTTCTTTGAATTCATCATCTTGTCGTGCAATTTTCAGAGCTTCGGCTCTTCTTTTATTATCTTCTGTTTTGAATTCATCATCTTGTCGTTCAATTTTCAGAGCTTCGGCTCTTCTTTTATTTTCTTCTGTTTTGAATTCATTATTTCGTCGTTCAATTTTATGAGAATTTGCTCGTCTTCTATGATCTAACAAGCGAAACTCATCATCAGTTCTTTTTTCTCTCATTCTCCTAGCCATCTCGACATTTCTTTGAGATAAAGATCTTCTTTTAAGCTTCGGCATTTTTTCAAACTAGCTGAAAAAGTACTTTTGATGTGACTGATTTTTTCCAGGCCTTAGATAATGAAATAAAATACGATTAAATTAATCGTTAAAATTTTAAATGAAAGCAGCTTCTCACTAAGATTAAGCACGTGTATATACCGAGTACGTCTTCTACTTAGTGAGACGTGCGTTTATCTCTAAACTTAGTGAGATAAACAATGGAAAAGTTTCTTTCGAGAAAAATCTTCGTTTAAACTTGGTGAAGATGCTCTCGATTCTAAGCAAGAAACTTTGAGATTTGAAAATCAAAATCTTAGTAGTCTTTATTGAACAAAAATTGAATTTGTATTTTTTATTTAATCGTTTATATTGATTTTAATCGTTTCAAAACAATTTTGATAATAGTTAAAATCTAAAAAGAAAGAATGAATGAAAGAAATTGAAGATAGACTAAATAGAATGCGAGATGAGTTCTTATGCAAAATGTACAGCGACGTAATTCGAATTCATTTAATCAATTATACAAAAAAAAATCTTTTATTTATTTATAGTAAAAGATCAATTGTATTTAACAAATTTCTTTACTACATCATGTTTTTTTTACAAATTTCTTTTCGTGAATGATAAATGTTTATGATAAATGTCTATGATAAATGTCATAATAATGTTGTTGATATTAATCATCATTTTCA